AGGAAGGCGAAACCTTTGGTAGATGGATGGTTTCAACAGGAGATCGGTTACGGGTTTGCCGTTGGTGAGATTTTGAGAACCAAAAATGTCACCCTTACCAAAGCCAAACATATTACAAACCATAGCTACCTCTTTCAGCCACCCAACTCCAATGAACCTAAAAATCCTACCTTACCCACAAGCCTACCAAAACCCACCCGAAAAAGAAAATTGCCCAACCCCTTCCAAAACCTTAAACAATATATCCGAGAACCAAGCCATGAAGGATCAAACACCCATGTCGTCCGATCCAATGAAGAACAATCAAGCCACCCAATCACAAGACCCTTAACCACTCAAAACTCGAACCCAATTATCCTTGAGAGCCACGGATTTGTTGAGGAAAATAGAGTGGAAGTGAATGTTGTTGTGAATGATCAAGTTGAAGTTGGAAGTGATGATGAGATATCAACAATTGGGGCGGATAGTGCACTTCTGGAGGAGTATAAAAGAGCACTAGAATGGAGAGCATGGAGATTAGGAGATCATAACTTGTTGGCCGAAACTATAGGGCCAAATACTTTGGAAAGAGAAGAATTGGTGTTGAGTTGGTTAGGCTCACGTGACCTTGCTAGAGCTACCCGTCTTTCGGTGATTAATTCATGCTTTGTGACTAAGCTTGCAAGGAAAAAGAGGACCGAGAAAAGTGTCCTAGTTGAAGCCACATCCGAAGTGCCCATAGGTGAATTTGACTCAAATGATATTCGCCGGGCAACCGTTTTGTCTTTGGAGGATAGCCGAAGAGGACCCGGAGAGGGATCTTTTGTGAGGAATGATGATATAGGGCTCCCGGAGATTGATTCGTATCCTGCAAATGTCGGGGATGAAAATTTGAGTTTTGAGTCTTGTTTTCCACATCCCGTAACGGAGGTTACGGAGTCTATTCGTGAAGAAGGAAATGCACCAAGTCAAGGGGTTTCTTTAAATTTGGATGAGACAAGGAATTTGCCTACTTTGCCACCTTGCTATGAGTTTTATGATCAACACCATCCAAGGAACCGAAACACATTGATGATTTGCTACAACACCGAGGAAGCAGAACCTAATCTTGTTGACACAATGATCACCACACCGCAAGATGATTTTGCACACCCATTGCCGAATCCAACACCACCCGTACAAAGTGAACAAACATTCAATGCTCAAGCCTTAAGGGAAGAAATTGTTGGGGATGTTAAGGCTATTGTACAAGGATCTACGGGTGAATTGAACACAAAGATGGATGATTTGGACACAAAGCTTGATGGTTATCACAAGGAGATGGTGGACCGTGCCCAACAATTGTTTAATAGGCAAGGCCTATTAAAGACCGAAATTGACACGGCAAAGCAAGAATTGAAGAATGATGTGATGAAGTTATTCAATGAAATGGGAAGACATGGATCCGATACAACCGCAAGGCTTAAACTTTTGGAACAACAAGTGCAAGGTTTACTACAACAATCCCGTATCAACTTGGATCTACTTGAAGGAGTTCGTGACAAGCAAAATTCTTCCACCGACAGCTTTCAAAGGTTCATTAATGCTGCCGAAAAGGGGGAAGGATTGGCAAGTCATTTTGTACCACAAGCCTATGCTTATGCGTCATCCCAACCGAGGGCTCCACGACCAAGAGGACCACTTGTGGAACTTGTTCGACCAACGTCATCACCAAGAAGTCAAAGCCGAGGGAGCATGATAGACTATCTTAGAGGAACTTTTCCTAGCTCGAGTTCAACTCCTCATGGTGTGTTGCCACCTACGCCGATTGCTCCAATGCCACAAATGCCGAAGCCAATTGCAACGAGGATACAAAAATTGCAAGAGCTTCAAACGGAGTTCGGACACCGAAGTGACCAAATGAGTGATGGCCGAACACTTGACGAATGCATCTTTTGGCATGAAGCCGGAGTGTTGAAAGGAGAGAATATAAGAGAAGCTTATGGAAACTACATCACTGGACAAGTAGCCGCACCGTATCAACACAAGGGCCTCGAGAAGGATTTCAAGAAGCTAAGAGAGTTCATCAATGCCAAGTTGAAAGGGAGGTAACAAGTTTGATTGACAAATCAATTTTTGATGTATAATTTATTTTAGCTAGCACATTACTTTTTGATATTATATCTATGCTAAGCTAAAATGGGTTGAAATTTCATGATGACAATATTTCGTACCATACTAAGTGTGTCTTAGTTAATTTATTTATTTTGTGTTTTTATGTCACAAGATTTTAATTTGGACTTAGAATTAATTTTGTAACACGTATAAAATGAGAATATAAAATTTAGGGGGAAGAAAAAAATTCAAGCTAAAAGAAAATTGAACACCCCACGATCAAAGTCTCAAGTATACGTTTAGGATTGTCCAATTTTAAAATCTCTAAGTCTCAATTTTTGTTAAACCCGTCAATTGGCTAGTCGAAATAAAATCGAATAAAAGAAGTTATTTTTCAAAATTGACAAAGCCAAAATGACTTGGGTATAAATTTCGGCATCATCAAAAAGGGAGAAATTGTTAGGAATATATTGTAAATTTTGATGAGCCGAATGTATTTTTGAAAAATCAAGTAGTCCCCATTTTTATTCTATTTGAGTCAATTTGAGTCTACGGAGTATGGTGTACCCATATCATGCAACCCATGTACAAGTCTGGAAAATCACATGTTGATTTTAGATATTAAGCGGGATTATAGCTTAACACAATTATGATGCGGATAAGTCACAAAGAACCATGCTAGAGGAGTTGGAAGAAACGTGTGTGAGCTATGTCAAATGATCCTAAGTTCGAATCTCAAGTGAAGCATTTTTTAACTTACTTGGGAGACTAGCTTGGACCGTATGGGAGACTAGCTTGGACCGTATGAGAGACTAACCTCCACCGTATGGGAGACTAGCTTGGACCATAAAGTATACCAAACCGTATGAGAGACTAGCACTAGTGTATTGGAGACTAGCTAAGAGTATGGAGACTAAGTAAAATGCACAAGTCTCACAAGCTATAAACACACCTAGTATGGTGGACCAAGCTTACATTCGAAACAGAGCATCTCACCATGGACAACTATGAAGTTTTTACAGAGGTTCCAGTACATCATTTTTGTTAGGATCTCGAAGGAGAAAATATCTGATATATTTTCATCTGAACATCAAGTTTTTACGGTGGAACCAGAGACGCTCGAAGAAGGCTGATTCGCGGAGAAATTATTTTATACTCAAGCAAGAATCAGCAGATAAATTATTTGATCAACTTGACATGTCAGAGAATTTATGAAGGACAAGAAATATCAAGATTGCCGCGCCGAACTTATTCAAATTTTGGAGGCTACAAAATTCAAGACACGGCAACGGGCAAATTATTCAAATCATCTGACAAAAGGAGAAATGACATCTACCTAATATTTCAGGTCAAGTTGACAATATCTTTTGATCAACTACAATTCAAAATGGACGATCGAGATCGAAAGTTGATCAACGGGCAAATAGCTTTCACTAGCTATAAATTGTCCAAGCTGACTTGAAGACAAGCAGCGAAAAAAAGAGACAACAACCCCAAGTGATTGAGCAGTTCAAACTTGAACAAACGGCTAAGACATACAAGCAAAAGATACATGCTATTTTTTTATTAGCCGAAAATGGGGAAACAGAGCTTCATAGAATTACATTCAAGTCTGAGTGAGAGAAAAATTTTATCTCTTTGTAGATTTCTCTACTGAGTGTAGAAAGAGGGCGGAGTAACTAGAGAGAGTGAAAAACCATGGTTGAGTGTAGCTTTGTGCGTAGCACTCGTGGTGAAGGGCAGAGTAACAAGAGGAGCTTGTGAAAACCCTGTGAGGATGTAGCTTTGTGCGTAGTTCTCGTGGTGTAGGAGTACAGCTTGGTGCGAAGTACTCGGGAAGGCGGAGTAACAAGAGGAGCTTGCGAAAAACGTTGGAGGAGTGTAGCTTTGTGCGAAGCACTCAGAGAAGTGTCGGTGGACACTTATTCACTATTGTATCTGGGTGATCGAAGAATAGTGAATTTCCTCCTTGAAGTGAAAGGAGAAGAGTGGACTAGGAGGATTACACCACCTCTGAACCACTATAAATCTCTCTCTCTATTTACATACTGCTCATATATTTTTTGCATGCTTATTCTAACTGCGAACTAACCCGATTACGATTTATCGCATATCTTTATCTTTCTGGGTTTGATAGTTCCCACGTATGAATGTAAGACAAACTTTACGTACATTATCTTTGAACTATATCAAGTGTTTCTAACGTGTTGCATGTTTAGAATATCTCTTTGAGCACCGCACTTAAGCATAACACTTCACCGCTACTTATTCCGCTGCACACTCTAAGTTGTTTATCTTGTTAATGCTTGTTACTTAGAGTTGAAATTACCAAAGTGTTATTTGCCTTGTGTGTTTTCGAAGAAAGTTTGAAAAGTTAGAGAAGTCTATTCACCCCCCCCCCCCCCCTCTAGACTTCTCGCCACCCTTTTGGGACCAACAATATGATTTTCCATCTTAAAAAATTCTGAAACTATCAAATCATGTTTTCGAATTAGTTTTAATGCCTTGTAGATTCTTGCACATTTACGGTCAGAGTAGTTGAACTTCATGCATTATGTGGTTGCTCATTTGATACCTATATATGAGATAAACTTTTTAATAAAAATTAAGCTAGTAAACTTAATAATAAAAATTTGAAAACAAGGAAAAAGAGTAAATTGAATTTAGAAATTACCTGGTCTTTTTTTGAATAACATGTCACACTATTTTAATGAACTATAGAGGATTTGTCAAATATAGATATACATATCACTTGAATTCAATTGTCTCAATTGAACATCTCTCACAAATTGATATCCAGAAATCCTGTGGCACATGTGAGATAAACAGTTGTCAATTGCAAATAATTAGTATATGAAAGTGATATTTATTTTAATTTGAAATAAGAGGGTAAACAAAACTAACATCAATAAACGTCAGGCATGATGTTAGTTTTTGTCTGGTGCAACAGTTGTTTGAGATATGTAATCCAAGATTTCTTGATAAACAATATTATTTGTAATATTGGTCAGTTTGTTGTGACCATCATCACTGAATATAATCATCTTGACCGAATCTGCTTTTTTTGCCTGAGACATAGGAACATACAATTGTCTGTGACTAAAAACTGGCTCTTTCAAGTAGATTCCAACAAAATCTAATGTTTGCCCTTGAGCTTTGTTAATTGTCATGGCAAAACTCACTTTAGTAGGGAATTGGGTTCTTTTAAAGGGTATCAGACAATTTTCATCCTTTGATGGCTCAAGAGGAATTCTTGGAATGAAGACATGTTTTCCTTTGTATTCCCCAACTGCAATGAAACAACTGATGAGATGATCTTCAAATGAATCACAAACTAATCTCGTCCCGTTGCATAATCCTTCAGCTGGGTTCAGATTTCTCAATAAAATTATAGGACAATTTTTCTTCAGAAGTAACTTGTGAGGAGGTAGGCCAGCTGGGGATAAAGTGTGTAAATAATCTTTACAATGCAACTGGTTCGAATTAAGTGGTTCATCAAAACTAACATAGCACTTACTTTCACCCGGGAATCTATCTATTAAGATAGAATTAATTTCATCTGCAATCTCATTCTTAGTTGTTAAGATGGCTCTGCTCATTAATGAATAAGGATCATTCCAGAAACACGTTAAGTCAGGATATACGGATTGAAATAAAGCATCAAGAGAAATATCTTCATCCGGACATGGAATAATGAATGAGGATGGAATCTTAATCTTGTCTCGACCAATAAACAGTTCAGTTCCATTGCCAATTTTCATCAAGTACTCACAAAATGCTGGATCCTCATTTGCACGAACATTTTGGACCAATTTTAATCGTTGGATGTTTGGCCAGATTGATGGTGATTTAACCAAACTTGCTTCAATGAAATCTTCTTTCTTCCCATATCTAATAACTGGTAATGTCTGTCGAAAATCACCTCCAAAAACAACCACTTTTCCTCCAAAAAATTTGATCTGTGTCCATAATATCTCTAAGCATTATATCAACACTTTCAATAACCCGGCGGTTAGCCATAGAGGCTTCATCCCAAAGAATCAATCTATATTTTTTTAATAAAGTAGCTTCTGCAGTTCGTTTTCCAATATTGCAGACATACTTATCATCTCCATCAATTGGTATTTTGAATGTAGAATGAGCAGTACGACCACTAGGCAAAATAGATGCTGCAATTCCTGAACTTGCAGTTGCAAGTGCTATCCATTTTTTAGACCTCACAGTAGCTAATAAGCATTTATATAGAAAGGTCTTACCAGTACCACTCGGGCCGTCTATAAAATAAACTCCACCTGAGTTTGAAATGATACTTGCCATAATAGTATCAAATGCTTTGCGTTGCTCAACATTCAATTTTTCCACACAAAGCAAGTCATATTCACTTACTTGTATGTTATATTCAGCTGCTATTTCTCTATCCTCCTTTTCTTGGGTTGATAGAGATAACATGTTATCGACCAAGTTAAAGTCATCAATCTTCTTCCCCATTTTTTCTACGGCATTTGCAATTAATTGAAGGACTATCAGTTGGACTTCCTCCTCAGTATGTATTTTTGTTCTGAGTAGATCTTCACACATGTATGTCTTAAATTTATTCCACAAGTTGCGAGGATTCGTGATGTCACAAAAAATTAGAAGGGTTGCAAATAGTCTCCTAAAACTTGATGGCATCTGATATAATACTGCTTCATCTAGACACTTTTCGACAATATGATCCCCAGATAACAGACCCAATTTTTCAGCTGCCTCACGAAATGTTATTGATTGATGGCCATTGACATTTTTTAAATGCTCAAATGATTTGGGTGTCCTAACATTCATTAATAATAGCCGTAAATAGTAACGCTCTCCTTCAGTTGGATTTACTGTCACAAGTATGCCTATAACTTCTTTCTTCTTTCTCTGTGTCCACATTTTTCTTTGATTTTTCCACACAAAATATTCAGGAATTGAATATAAAGTGTTAGGAATATTTTGTAAATTTTGATGAGCCGAATGTATTTTTGAAAAATCAAGTAGTCCCCAATTTTATTCTATTTGAGTCAGTTTGAGTCTACAGAGTATGGTGCACCCATATCATGCAACCCATGTACAAGTCTGGAAAATCACAAGTTGATTTTAAATGTTAAGCGGGATTATAGCTTAACATAATTATGATGCGGATAAGTCACTAAGAATCATGCTAGAGGAGTTGGAAGAAACGCGTGTGAGCTATGCCAAATAATCCTAAGATTGAATCTCAAGTGAAGTATTTTTAACTTACTTGGGAGACTAGCTTGAACCGTATGAGAGACTAACCTCCACCGTATGGGAGACTAGCCAAACCGTATGGGCCACCGTATGGGAGACTAGCCAAACCGTATGTGAGACTAGCCAAACCGTATGTGAGACTAGCTCAAGTATATTGGACCGTATGGGAGACTAGCTCAAGTATATTGGACCGTATTGGAGACTAGCTTGGAATGGAGACTAGCTAAGAGACTCTCCAATATGGAGACTAAGTAAGGTAAATGCACAAGTCTCACAATAGCCATGCACCAGAAGGAGAAACACACCAAGTATGGTGGACCAAGCTTAAATTCGAAACAGAGCATCTCACCATGAACAACTATGAAGTTTTTATAGAGGTTCCAGTATATCATTTTACAAGGATCATGAAGGAGAAAATATCTGATATATTTTCATCTGAATATCAAAGTTTTTACGGTGGAACCGGAGACGCTCAAAGAAGGCTGATTCGCGGAGAAATTATTTTATACTCAAGCAAGAATCAGCAGATAAATTATTTGATCAACTTGACATGTCAGAACATTTATGAAGGACAAGAAATATCAAGCTTGCCGCGCCAAACTTATTCAAATTTTGGAGGCTACAAAATTCAAGACACGGCAACGGGCAAATTATTCAAATCATCTGACAAAAGGAGAAATGACATCTACCTAATATTTCAGATCAAGTTGACAATATCTTTTGATCAACTACAATTCAAAATGGACGATCGAGATCGAAAGTTGATCAACGGGCAAATAGCTTTCACTAGCTATAAATTGTCCAAGCAGACTTGAAGACAAGTAGAGATCATAACCCCAAGTGATTGAGCAGTTCAACAACTTGAACAACGGCTAAGACATACAAGCAAAAGATACAAGCTATTTTTTTATTAGCCGAAAAGGGGGAAACAGGGCTTCATAGAATTACATTCAAGTCTGAGTGAGAGAAAATTTTTATCTCTTTGTAGATTTCTCTACTGAGTGTAGAAAGAGGGCGGAGTAATTAGAGAGAGTGAAAAACCCTAGCTGAGTGTAGCTTTGTGCGTAGCACTCGTGGTGAAGGGCAGAGTTTTTATCTTCTGTGCATGCTTATTCTAACTGCGAACAAACCCGATTACGATTTATCGCTTATCTTTATCTGTCTGGGTTTGATAGTTCTCACGTATGCATGCTAGCCAAACTTTACGTACATCATCTTTGAACCATACCAAGTGTTTCTAACGTGTTGCATGTTTAGAATATCTCTTTGAGCACCGCACTTATAAGCATAACACTTTACCGCTACTTATTCCGCTGCACACTCTAAGTTGTTTATCTTGTTAATGCTTGTTACTTAGAGTTGAAATTACCAAAGTGTTATTTGTCTTGTGTGTTTTCGAAGAAAGTTGAAAAAGTTAGAGAAGTCTATTCATCCCCCCCCCCCCCCTCTAGACTTCTCGCCACCCTTTCGGGACCAACATAAAGTAAGTTGAGTTTTTTTGCAACTTCATCCACACGATTCGTGTAGAGAAACTGTGTTAACATTGTGCGAGAAGTGTAGTCATCTTCAACGATATTAACCAACCTGTCATTGCCGTGGAAATTAAGGTACTGATAGTTTTGCAGATGAACTTGTAAATGCACAACGGCGGGCTTTATTTCAGCAATTGGGAAGGCATAAATTCTCCAAGCCGCTTCAGGTGGGGAAACCCATCTTGCACTTTGGTATTCTTTAATCTCATCAAACTCATGAACATCGGCACCAGCGTATAAACTTAGGCTGATTCTGTCGTGTCCCTTGTATATATATTTATATATATACTTCACACATCTTATCCCTGCACATATTTCAACATTTATATAACAATCAAATTTCGCCAACAAATATGGATTAAAAGGGACAACCAACCGGTTATCAAGTTGATGTCCTCTGACAAAAACGTTTGTTGAAGTGTCCATCCTACGATATATAGGGTAGGAGTTTTCGTCAAAAATAGTTTCATCATTAAATGAGCGAGGGTACTTATCTTTGCAAGATGGAGCAAGTTGTTGTTGCTGGTGAAGCATACAAGCACAATTAGGATTTAAAGAACCACACGGACCATGAATCATATGCTTTTTAACCAGATTGTATAACTGTGGTTCACTTTCTTTATTAGGAATCTCAGCAGTTATAAATCTGTCACAATGAGCATGAGTTGTAATTTTGAATTTGCTCTTCAAAATAATGAGAAAGTGAGCATGCGGAAGTCCTCTTTTTTGAAACTCAATCACATATGCATATGCTTCCACCTCTCCAAAAATTTTTCTCTTAAAGATGTCATTTTTTAGCTCTTCAAGTCTAGCACGGAAAACACGAGCAAGAAGGTCCGGCCTATTTTGTGGTACATCAACATATTTGAGAAGTTCTTTAATCTCTGGCCAATTAGGATTACATGTTACTGTTATAAACAAATCAGGCTTTCCAAATCGTTGCACAAGTGACATTGCATCCATGTATCTTCTGTGCATGCTTATTCTAACTGCGAACTAACCCGATTACGATTTATCGCTTATCTTTATCTGTCTGGGTTTGATAGTTCCCATGTATGCATGCTAGCTAAACTTTACGTACATCATCTTTGAACCATACCAAGTGTTTCTAACGTGTTGCATGTTTGGAATATCTATTTGAGCACCGCACTTATAAGCATAACACTTTACCGCTACTTATTCCGCTGCACACTCTAAGTTGTTTATCTTGTTAATGCTTGTTACTTAGAGTTGAAATTACCAAAGTGTTATTTGTCTTGTGTGTTTTCGAAGAAAGTTGAAAAAGTTAGAGAAGTCTATTTCCCCCCCCCCCCCCCTCTAGACTTCTCGCCATCCTTTCGGGACCAACAAGTGGTATCAGAGCGGTTGTCTATTTGAGTCAATTTTGACTGCTAGATAGATCTCAAAATCTTCAAGATGAAGAGAGATATGGCTCTTGCTCAAAATTTGCTTTTCTTACTTGATAAATTTGATGATTGGAAAATACGTATGCAGGTGCACTTATCTACTTTAAATGATGAAATGTGGGAAGTCATCACCACTGGTCCTATCCAAATCATGGAAGCTAATACTGCTACTCCACGAGATCCAAATGCTCCACGATATATTCCAAAGCCAAAAATGGAGTGGAGAAAAGAAGATAGAGGGCGAAATAACTTGGACAATATTGCCAAGGATATTTTGTTCAAAACGGTCGATGACACAATATTCCCAAAGATTCGAAAGTGCACCACAGCAAAAAAAATATGGGATACTCTCATTAGTATCGGTGAAGGCGATGAACAAGAAAAAGACAACAAACTAACCATTGCCATGAAGAGGTTCGAAGATTTCAAAATGCTACCGAACGAAAGCATCACCGACATGGAAGCTCGATTGATCAAAATTCTTGGAGAAATCACGGATCTGGGAAAGACCATTACCCAGAAGGAAATATCCCTCGGACTACCTACAAATTGGGATATGAAGGTGACCGCAATGCGCGATCATAGAGATTTAAGGACATTATCTACGGATAAACTCTTTAGTGATCTTAAGGCGTATGAGTTCGAAATAAAGACACGAGTCGAAGAAGAACGCGATGAACGAACATCCGCATTGATGGCCGAACAACCTTCAACATCAAGGTCAGTCGCAAATAATGATTTTATATCTGACGAACAATTTTCTTTATTTGTTAGGAAATTCAAGAAGTTCATGCGAAAAAACAAAGGATCACCACAAGGAAATTTCTTTCGAGAAAATAGAAGATCAAGAAGGGAACCGGTCGAAGATAACACAAACGTGTGTTACAATTGTAGAAAGTCTGGACATTTTATCGCCGAATGTCCACACCCCAAGGCGGACAGAAATTCGAATACTTCTCCACAGGTGGAATACAAATCCAAAGAGAAGAAATTCAAAAAGGGCAAACGGAAGGCACTAATAAGCGATCCGTTAGAAGCAAGTGAATCCGAAGAATCATCTAGCGACGTGAGTGATTCATCACAAGAAGATACGGCGCTACTATGCCTAGTGGGCAAGACATCCGAACATGAAGAATGTTATATGGCGCGTGAAACTGACGAAGAGGTATCTTCTAGCTCTTTTAGCTCTTTTAGTTCCGTTGACACTTCTTTCCAGACTCAAGAATCATTTCAAAGTCTTATGGAAGATTGTCAAAAGGTCATGGCCACTCATACTCAAATCAAAGAGCGCAATAATACGTTAATTCTTGAAAAGGAAGAAATGTCACAAAAATTGCAAAATGCTCTAAATGAAATGAGTAATTTGAAAGCCGAAAATGTTCGACTTCAAGAAGAGTGCAAAGCTAGAGAGGTTCGAGAACATAACATTCAGGAAGTAATCGCATCAGTTACAAATTCATCCAGAATAATGGATAAAATGGTAAACATGCAAAAGCCCGCTAGAGATAAAGCCGGACTAGGCTACGATCCATCATGTTCTCAAACCCCTGTGAAACTGACTAATTCTACTACTACTTTAATTAATAAAGTTCCAGTGGTAAAATTTGTGAAAAATCAGTATAGCACAATGAGACAAGGAGTTGGTAATCAAATAAATGCCCAGAAAAATGTTGCAAGGCCGAATAAAAAATCTAATATCTCGGATAGGCAACAAAATTTTAAAAGGCAAAAATTTGTATCTCAAAAGAGAGCCAACGAGTCTAGTGCAACAAAACCTCATAGGAATATGGGAAGGATTCCGAGAATTGGGGCTGGGAGATTATATCCCTCAGAACCAGATTGGTCGCTTGATGACAAACCATGGACCAAGTCCAGATTTGCTCTTTTTCATAGAATCAAGCAAATATCTGCTTCCCAACCCGCACCAAAGCATTATTCGCAAGTGCGTTATGATTATAGAGTCTTTAATGGTTACAAATCACCTACTCTTGGATCAGTGGGATCTAGGTGGATTTGGATGCCAAAAATTACTAACACAAAAGGACCCAATCAAGCATGGGTACTTAAAAATAATTAATCTTTCTTGCAGGAAGTTTGGTATTTCGATAGCGGTTGCTCTCGACATATGACCTACAATAAAGCTAGTCTAGTTGAGTTCAAAAGTATCGAAGGACCAAAAGTAGTTTTCGGTGGAAACGATCGATATGGAATGACAAAAGGAACCGGCACAATTGTGAAAAATGGTCTACGAATTGATGATGTATCTTATGTCGAATGATTAAAATTTAACTTGTTTAGTACAAGTCAATTTTGCGACAAAGGATATCTCGTAGAATTTTACAAAGGCAAATGTCAAGTGAAAGACGAATCCACGAATGAAGTCGTACTCGCCGGATCAAGAAAGAAAAACATGTATGTTGTGGATTGGAGTACAACAAAGAAATACGTATGCTTGATGGCAAATAATTCGAATGAAGCTTGTTGGGAATGACACAGAAGGCTAAATCATTTGAATTTCAAAACCATCAACAAGCTTGCAAGAAATAATCTAGTCGAAGGACTCCCCAACATTGTGTTCAAGAAAAATCAAATTTGTGATGCATGATAGAAGGGAAAACAAATCAAAGCATCATTCAAAGTCAAAGCTCAAGAGTCAACATCAAGACCCTTAAGTCTACTGCACATGGATTTATTTGGTCCAGTAGACCCAGTAAGTATAAGTGGTAAGAAATATACTTTGGTTGTTGTTGATGATTTTTCTAGGTACACTTGGACAATATTCATCAAGAAAAAGGATGAAGTCTTATCAAAGCTGTCAGAGCTATTAAAGCTACTACAAGTCGAAAAGGACATGAAGATTGCAACAATACGAACCGATCGAGGAACAGAGTTCGTGAACAGAGTGATTCAATCTTACTGCAATTCACAAGGAATTTTACATCAATTATCTACCGCATGAACGCTGCAACAAAATGGTGTAGCTGAAAGAAGAAATCGAACACTCAAGGAAGCCGCACGAGTCATGATAACGGCCGCCGGACTACCAAAGAAATTTTGGGCAGAAGCAATTAACACGGCGTGCTATACTCAAAATCGCAGTCTAATCCACAAGTCTTATAACAAAACACCATATGAATTATGGAAAGGGAGAAAACCCAATCTCACCTATTTTCAAACATTTGGTTGTAAATGTTTTGTACTTGTTAATGGAAAGTCTCAATTAAAGACTTTTGACGAGCGAGCGGACGAAGGAACATTCTTGGGATATTCATCCACCAGCAAGGCATATAGAATATTCAACAAATCAACCATGGTGGTAGAAGAATCGATTCACGTTGTGTTCGATGAAAATCACGACAATAATGGCAAAAATGGTGAAGGTAATCGTGATTTAATTATTTTTAACAATATGTTGGAAGATAATGTGTTGCAGGAAGTAGAAGAATCAAGTGATATGGGTACTCACCAAATTGAGGCAATATCCAATGTGATACCCGAAATATCACGTGCAACTGAGATTGCACCCAGAATTCAACAAGAAGAAATTCCATTAGTTGAACCCGAAGATGCACCCGTCAATAATACACAACAAGTGGAATCACATCAAGAAGGAAACTCTGAGAATCCAACGAATTTTCAACCAAATCGGAAATGGCTAAGGAGTCACACACATGACATAGTCATTGTAGATCCGAGTGACGGAGTAAAGACGCGATCATCTACTAGGAACAGAGCAAACGAAGACGGTGTCATTGTTAGGAATAAAGCAAGATTAGTTGCGAAAGGGTATTCACAAGAAGAAGGAATTGATTTTGATGAGACATTTGCCCCCGTCGCACGACTCGAAGCAATCCGGATATTCCTAGCATATGCAGCGCATAAGAATTTTATTGTGTATCAAATGGACGTAAAGAGTGCATTTCTTAATGGCTTACTTGAAGTAGAAGTTTACGTCGAACAACCACCCGGTTTTGAGGTAAAAGATGTTGGTGATCAAGGCTACAAATTAAAGAAGGCATTGTATGGGTTAAAACAAGCTCCGCGAGCTTGGTACAACACCTTGTCAATGTTCTTAATTAGTTGTGGATTCACCAAAGGTCTAGTCGATAAAACCCTCTTTAGAATTCAAGAAAATAATCACATTTTGTTAGTACAAATTTATGTTGATGATATTATCTTTGGAAGTAGTGATAAATCTTTATGTGAGAAATTTTCTAAGCTCATGCAGAACAGGTTCGAGATGAGTATGATGGGAGAATTAAATTACTTTTTGGGACTACAAGTCAAGCAACTTGAAGAAGGAATTTTCATAAATCAAGCCAAGTACACAAGAGATCTTATCCAGATATTTGGCATAAATGGAAAATCCTCAGTCAAAATTCCCATGAGTACATCTCAAAAATTGGATAAAGATGATGAAGGAAAAGACGTCGATCAAATGATGTATCGAGGGATGATTGGATCGTTACTATACTTAACCGCAAGCAGACCGGACATATCCTACTCGGTTGGCGTATGTGCAAGATTTCAATCAAAGCCCAAAGAAAGTCATCTGAT